TTTATCCATGCTGTTTTTGGGAGAGACATGGGAGACTTTGGGACTTTGAGATAAAAAAGTGGGGCATGGAAGATAGTTCTGAGGATGATTTTAACTGTAGGAGCCCAGCTGAAAATTTTGCAGAGGGGAAGAATATTAGTAAGTGTTCTAAAGACAATTCTTGTGATATTTTGGCAAGGATGTGGTTACTTTTTGCCTTGTACAAAACATATACCTGAGTGTGCTGAACAGTTTTATGCCAACTTGAAACGAGCTAAAGTCACCTGGGAGAAGGGAACCTCAATTAAGAAAATGCCTCCATAAGATCAGGCTATAGGTAAAACTGTAGACCATTTTCTTAATTATGATCGACGGGGAAGGGCCCAGCCCTTTGTGGGTGCTGTCATCCCTGGGCTGGTGATCCTGTGTTATATAAGAAAGAAGTCTGAGCAAGCCATGAGCAGTAAGCCAGTAAGCAGAACTCCTCCATGGCCTCTGCATTAGCTCCTGCTTCCAGGTTCCAGCCATTCTAGTGCTTCTGTCCTGATACCTTGATGACAAGATGGAAATGTAAACAGAATAAACTTTTCTCCCCAAATTGTTTTGGTCATGGTGTTTTATCTCAGTAACTCTAAGACACTGAGGCTAAATTGAACATTTTTGTATTAATGGCTCTGGTAAAGGAGATTTGCAAGATAGCCATTTTCGAGATTATTCTGCCACTTCCTCAGAAAATTAGGAATGTGCTACATCAAGATCCAAAAAATGCTCTACCATTCAATAAAGACATTTGCTCAGCTATGTTCATAGCAGCTTTATTTGTAATAGCCAGAATCTGTAAACAACCTAGATGTCTCTCAAAGGAAGAATGGATATGGAAAGTGTGATATATTTGCACAGTGGAATACTACTCAGTAATTAAAAACAAGGAAATCATGAAGTTTGCAGGCAAATGGTGGGAACTAGAAAAGATCATCCTGAGTGGGGTAACCCAGAAGCAGAATGACACATATGCTATATATTCACTTATAAGTGGATATTAGCCATATAATATAGGATAAATATACTAAAATCTATAGTCCTAAAGAAGCTAAACATCAAGGAGGACCCAAGGGAAGATGCTTAATCCTCAGTCAGAAGGGCAAAGAGGAAAGACATCAGAAGTAGGAGAAGAAAAGGAACAGGACAGGAGCCTTCCACAGAGGACCTCTGAAAGACTCTACCCACCAGGGTATCGAAAGAGATACTTAGACTCGTAGCCAAATTTGGGTAGAATGCCAGAATCCTTATAGAAGAAGAGGGAGAGGTAGAAAGATCTGGAGGGGAAAGGAACTGCACAAGGAGAACAGCAGAGCACAAACCCTAGGTGCAGGGGGGGCCTGCAGAGACCAATACTCCAAGCAAGCACCTTGCATGGAGAGGACCTAGACCTGCTGTTGAAAGGAAGCCCATTGGCTGTTCAGTTTCCAAGTAGGTTCCCTAGTACAGGCTCTGTCTCTGATATGAACTCAGTTGTTGGCTCTTTGTTTATCTTCCCCTGGGGGGTGAGGGCTTGCCAGACCGTAGAAGAAGATAATGCAGCCAGCCTTGATGAGACCTGATAAGCTAGCTCAGAACGAAGAGAAGGAATTCCTTCCCCATTAGTGGACTGAGAAAATGGCAAAGAGGGAGAAGAAGGAAGGTGGGTGGGACTGGGAGGAGATGAGGGAGGGGTTGCAGCAGGGATACAACGTGAAGGAATAAATAAATAAATAAATAAATAAATAAATAAATAAATAAATAAATGAATGAATGAATAAATAAACTTTTTTTTTTTTTTAAAGCTAGGGCCTTGAGATATGTCTTAGGAGTAAAAAGCATCTTTTTTTTTTTTCACTTTCAGAGTTCAAGTTCTAGCATCCATGTCAAGCAGCCCATAACCTCCTGTAACTCCTCCTCCAGGGGATTGGTTTCTTTCAGCTCCCACTCATATGAATATAACAACACACATACACATAATTAAAAACTATTATTAAAAATGGTGGGAGAGGCTGGTGAGATGCCTTAGTCATGAAGGGCACTGACTACTCTTTCAGAGGACCCAGGTTCTTTTCTTGGTACTAATATGGCAGCTCACAACTGTTTGTCTTTCCTTTGTTAGCCGTCATGGAATCATAATGCTTCCCAGCTGCTACTTTGGGATTCGATGTCAGAATAGTTAGAAAACAATTTCTTCATGAAAATAAGAATGAACTCCGGTACTGATGTAGGGAGAGAAGAAACCATGTATGCAGCTAATATGGCTGTGAACTCATGTGAATGTGAAAGAAATCACTGTGGATTTTCACAAAATATAGATGTACTACATGTTCCATCTTTGTAACTCTTGGTTATATAACCAAAGGATATATGACAGCATGCAACAGAGATACTTGTATGTACATGTTTATTACGTTACTTTCAAAACCTCAAATATGGAATTAACCTGATAGCTAATAAAAGGTAAATTAATAATGAAAATGTGCCGAACATTCTCATTAGAATTTTATTCAGTTTTAAAGAAGATTGAAATCATGACCATTTCAGAAAAGCACATGAAACTGGGGATCAATACATTAAGTGAGATAAGGAGGACCATCCATATATTAAGTGATATTAAGTAGACAAAGACAATTATCACATTTTATCTCATATGTAAAACCCAGTTTAAATATATATATTTGTTTATATGTGTATGTTGGGCATCAAAGGAGAAAGAAAACCACGAGAATGGTTGAAGAGGTGTAATGTGAGGAAAACTGGAGAGAAATGACTTGGCAACATAGAGCATAACTGTAATGAAAACAGAGAGGGCATTACTTTGCAGGAAGGTGAACATGAGAAGAAGAGAAGAGAGAGATGGGAGCCTGTGGGAAAGATAAAAAAATACAGAAATATGTATGTAGATGTCACAATGAAATTAAAATATAACTAATAAAAATAAAACAGGAAATAAATGTGCAGTGCCTAATTTTGCATTTTTGAATTATTTTCTTTCACAAATTTATGGAAAAATGTTTTAACTTGAAAAATCATAATATTTAATGATAGTCAGGGTAGTCAACATTTCTACCCGAAATATTTTTCAAATTTCTAGGTTAAGAAATCTATGACATCTTTGTAGGGGATGCATTGCACATGAACTCAGTTGATAATTTTTTGATCACTTCCCCTTGGTGGGACTGCCTTACCCCAGAGGATATGATCAGTCTGGATGCAACTTGATGAGCTGGGGTGGATGGGAAAAGGAGTTCCCCTTTTCTGAGGAAAAGGGAACCAAGGATCGGGGAAAAAGAGAGTGGGACTGGGAGGGGAGGAAGGATGGGGCTACAATAAAGATGTAAACAATTTAAGATATAAATCTATGACAATATTTATAGAGTACAGAGTTATATGCAATGTGTGTGTGTTTGTGTGTGTGTGTGGTGTGGTGTGGTGTGTATACTGATCAAAATAGGAAAATTCACTTTTCTTATATGTCTTATATGTTAACTTATAGTTTCCATTATACATTAAATTTGTTTGCATAGGACAGAAACCCAGGGTCCTTTATTGTAATTTATTTACAAAATGCTATGCCATCTCATTCAAACTTGGAAGTTTGTCATACTTTCTACCACTTCCCCAAATCTGCATATGCAAATACCCAACAAATTACAATAGGCTATGACATTACTTCTTTTTTTTTTTGATTTATTTTATTTTATTTTTCTTTATTAGTTACACTTTACTCACTTTGTATCCCCCCCCCATGGTTCCCTCCCTTCTCCCATCCCAATCCCTCCCTTCCTCCACCCTCTGCATGCATGCCCCTCCCCAAGTCCACTGATAGGGGAGGACTTCTTTTCCTTCCTTCTGATCCTAGTCAATTAGGTCTCATCAGGAGTGGCTGCATTGTCCACTTTTGTGGCCTGGTAATGCTGCTTCCCCCTCAGGGGGAGGTAATTAAAGAGCAGGCCAATCAGTTCATGTCAGAGACAGTCCCTGTTCCTATCACAATGGAACCCACTTGGATACTGAACTGCCATGGGCTACATCTGTGCAGGGGTCTTAGGTTATCTCCATGCATAGTCCTTGGTTGGAATAGCAGTCTCAGGAAAGACCCCTGTGCTCAGATTTTTTGGTTCTGTTGCTCTCCTTATGGAGTTCCTGTCCTCTCCAGATCTTACTGTTTCCCACTTCTTTCCTAAGATTCCCTGCACTCTGCCCAAAGGTTGCCCATAAGTCTCAGTATCTACATTGATAGTCTGCAGGGCAGAGCTTTTCAGAGGTCCTCTGTGTCAGGCTCCTGACTTGTTCCCTCTTTTCTCCTTCTTCTGATGTCCAGCCTCTTTGCCATTACTTCTTAAACCATCCAGTATAACTTTAGTCATTCAGAATTTGTGCGTTATCAACCCTTTCAAATTAGCAGTATAGATACGGCTGGCCAACAGTTTCTGAACAGCCAGTGATGGCATATTTTCAGCTTTAATGGCTGTGTGGTCCCTGTCTTCATGGTTGAAGTCTCAGTGGAGAAGGGGAAATCTCTCAGTGGAGAGGGAAAGCAGCCAGAGATGAATCACTGACTGTGCGTCTTTGGCTAACATACACCCATTCCTCTGCTCAGGCAGCACATTACACTAACGTTTCCTTTTAGTTAAAATATGCTACATATGTCTTGGGACAATTCTATTTAAAAGTCCTATAATTTGCCATGCATGCATTTGCCAACATGCCAAAACTCTGTGAACACATATCTCTTTTAGTGAGAAACAGAATTTCCATATTCTTCTAATTACTGTGTGTTTGTAACCTTTAATCTAATTTCTACTAATTATTCATAAGATAAAGCTGTTTAAGTGGTGGAACTGTAATTTTCCAACTAAATTTGGGGTGAACATAATGTAAGCGAGCACTGCGTTTAAGAGAAGACACACCTAAAACCACAATCGCAACAAAATTGTACTCATTTGAAAAAAAAAAAAAACATTTTTTGCTTCCTTATTTTCAAACATACTTTTTCTTTAGTCATAATTTTGGTGAGTAATTAATTTATCTTGGTCTTCAGATGGTGAGACATTGAAAAGGAGTTGGCAGTAACAAGTGATTTTGTCATAACAAGCAGCATGTCTATTAAGGTGAGCTTGAAGCCAGGAACACAGAAGTCCACAGCAAAGGAAGACGACCTGATAGACATGCTCTACACTAGGAGACCGAATAACTGGTGTGAAAATGAGACAAACTGATGAAACTATAGATCCAAATATAAATGGCCACCACACCTGAAAGAAAAAAGAAAAGTAAGACTCTTGGTGTCATTGTAAGTTCTCATGACAAAACAGGCATTATATATGTTACAGAACCAAGAAGAAGTGAGTACATCCATATTTTCAGAAGTCTTAAGTATTTTTGTTTAGCAGTATTAGTATTAGTTTATAAAAAATAAATTCATTACAAATTAAACATTATTTTAAAAATTCATTGGGAAGTTACCTACAGTACCCATAATTTTTTACTCTATCCATCACACCAAGTTTTCATTCACTAAAGCCAGTACTTTATTTTCAAACATTAGGAAAAATGGTTCCTTAGTAAACACCATTGCCATAAATGAAAATAGCGTGTTAGAACTATTAGTCATTACAACGATGTTTTTCTGAATTAGGAAAACTAGATACATTTATACATAGCCAACATGTTCCCGTCTACCCTCCCCTCCTTTATGTCCTAATTTGTTTCTTTTATTAATTTTTAGTTAGCACAGCATAGTGATATGTTTATAGGTATAGTAGTATGTTTATTCCTGGAATTTTCATATGCATATGTAATTCTATTTTGTTCTTATTCTATCTCCTACATTCCCTTTTTCTTATCTCATCCCCTCTAGACTTCCTGATATATGTTTGATTATCTTCTTTTCATAAATCTCTGTCTTTAAATATCATCATCCCTTCTGATCTCATTTTTTATGTTCATGTATAATATATGTGTATGTACAAACACATATTTTAAAAAAATAAATGTGATTTTAAACCTTAAGTCTAGTTGTGTGCAATCTTATTTTAACTCATCTAAATATTTTTAATTGTTCTTTCATTCTTGCAATTAAGCCAACATTTCTTGTTTTGTCTGACCATCTTGATGTGTTCTCAAATTCAGACTGAAAAAATTTATTGAGAATTGTTGTGCCAGCATTTAAGAAGGCAGATAGAGCTCTGTGAGTTTGAGGCTAGCCTACTCTACAGGGGAACTCCAGGACAGCCCTGGCTACACAGAGAAACCCTGTTTAAAGAAAGAAAGAAAGAAAGAAAGAAAGAAAGAAAGAAAGAAAGAAAGAAAGAAAGAAAGAAAGAAAGAATAATTATACATATATTCACTGGAAAATTGTTTAATATTTTTTCTCATTTCCGTTGTATTCTTATGTAGTTGTGGTATTAGGGTAACAGTGGCTTTGTAGAATGGGTTTTTAACATTCCTACCTTTCAGATTTTAAGAAACAGTTTGAGAGGCTTTGGTGTCAGCTCTTAAAGGTTGGTAGAATCCAGCAGCTAGGTAAACAGTTCCTTCCAGTACCCACAACACTACTTAGGAGTGAAAGCTCTAGGAAGGTGCTAGCTCAGCTTTTCTATGTTCAATGAATGATGTAGATGTTGTCTTCAATACGGCCATACTGTCAGTTTGTAGAGAGAACAAATGGCCTGAGTTATTTGAAGGTTTCCTTTTGCCAACAACTCATTTTGACATAACCCATCTCTGGTACTGAAGCTTCATTTGGTGAAAAGAAATGTCCAGTTGGGGCTTTCTTTCCCCCATTATTTGTAGGTTTCATTTATTTAACTTTCATATATGTATGTATTTTAGGAAGCATTCACTGTGTTAGTTTTCTCTCACATGTCCCTAACTTTTAGCAGACATTTCCTCCCCCAAGTCCCATATGTCTCTACTGTTCCTCTCTCTACTGTTATTTCACACAGTGTTATTTCACTACGATCTAATCAGAGACCAGAAAAAGATATATTTTACACTTTTGAAGCTTGCATTGTTACCTAAATTTATGGACTTGAGAGAAATACAGAATTCATGGATATTGGGTGGAATATTCTAAAGATACCTGTTAAGTCCATTTGCTATATAGTATAGTTTAACTCCTAAGTTTCTTCATTAACTTTTAGTTTGAAAGAACTACCTTAAGATAAGAGTGCTGGTGGAAGTCACAGCATTATTGCAGCAGACTTATTTTTTTTTTACTTGCTTTTATTCTTTTTTTTTAATTTTTTTTTATTAATTACACTTTATTCATTTTGTATCCCCCCAATAAGCCCCTCCCTCCTCCCCTCCTGATCCCACCCTCCCTCCCCTTCTGTATGCATGCCACTCCCCAAGTCCACTGATAGGGGGGGTTCTCCTTTTCTTTCTGATCTTAGTCTATCAGTTCTCATCAAAAGTGGCTGCATTGTCCTCTACTGTGGCCTGATAAGGCTGCTCCCCCCTCAGGGGGAAGTGATCAACGAGCAGGCCAATCAGATTATGTCAGAGGCAGTCCCTCTTCCCATTACTATGTAACCCACTTGGACACTGAACTGCCATGGGCTACACCTGTGCAGGGGTTCCAGGTCATCTCCACAAATAGTCCTTGGTTGGAGTATGATTTTCTGGGAAGTTCCCTGTGTTCAAATTATCTTGTTCTGCTGCTCTCCTTGTGGAGTTCCCGTCTCCTCCAGCTCTTACTATTTCCCACTTCTTACATAGAATTCCATTCACTCTGCCCATCAGTTGGCCATCAGGCTCAGCATCTGCTTTGACAGTCTATACTGCAGAAGCTTTCAGAGGCCCTCTGTGGCAGGTTTCAAGGTTGTTTCCTGTTTTCTTCTGGCTTTCAGAGGCCCTCTGTAGCAGGTTCCGAGGTTGTTTCCTATTTTCTTTTTCAGCAGACTTATTTTATGCCCATTAGTGTTAGTGCTTTAAAAATAAAATTGGAAATGCAATCATATAGTGAATATTTGCTATTAATATGTATTCCTGACAAATTGTTTATCAACAATATGTGTTTTACTTGTCGTTTTTATGAATTTTGAAGACACATGTTAATATCTGAATAGTCACACCAGCTAGTTTTCAAATTCTCTTTGCTTGATATGGTGCCATGACCTCTTTTTTTTCTTTTTTTATTATTATTATTAATTACACTTTATTCATTTTGTATCCCCCCATAAGCCCATCCCTCCTCCCCTTCCGGCCCCACCCTACCACCCCTTTCTTCATGCATGCTTCTCCCCACATCCACTGATAGGGGAGGTCCTCCTCTCTTTCCTTCTGATCTTAGTCTATCAGATCACATCAGGAATGGCTGGATTGTCTTCTTCTGTGGCCTGGTAAGGCTGCTCCCCCTCAGGGGGAGGTGATCAAAGAGCAGGCCAATCAGTTTATGTCAGAGGCAGTCCCTCTTCCCATCACTATGTAAGCCACTTGGACACTAAACTGCCATGGGCTGCATCTGTGCAGGGGTTCTAGGTTATCTCCATGAATAGTCCTTGGTTGGAGTATGAGTCATTGGGAAGTTCCCTGTGTTCAAATTTTCTTGTTCTGTTGCTCTCCTTGTGGAGTTCCTGTCCTCTCCAGCTCTTTCTATTTCCCACTTCTTACATAAAATTCCATTCACTCTGCCCGCCAGTTGGCCATCAGTCTCAGCATCTGTTTTGATAGTCTGCAGGGCAGAGGCTTTCAGATGCCCTCTGTGGCAGGTTCCTAGGTTGTTTCCTGTTTTCTTCTTCTGACTTTCAGAGCCCCTCTGTAGCAGGTTCCTAGGTTGTTTCCTGTTTTCTTCTTCTTCTGATGTCCATCCTCTTTGCCTTTCAGGATGAGGATTGAGCGTTTTAGTTGCTTGATATGGTGCCATGACCTCTTTTTTTTTTTTTTTATCAATCTGTACATGATTTTACCAATGCTATCTGTATTTTGAAAGCAACTAGATATTATTTCTCATCCATTTAAGAAAGTATTTTTCTGTCTATTGAATATTTGAAGCAGTTTGCAATTGATTTCATATTGGGAATGATTGAGAACTCTTAAAATTTTGGTTTATTTTTCTAGTTGTTTTGGATTATTGTGCTTTCTTCTTTGTCTTCTGCTACTGTATGAGGAGTTTACTTGTTAACCACGTAAGTAACCATGTAATCCTTTATACTTCTTTGTGTATCTGTGCCTCTCAAGAAGTTCATTATTTGTGGTGGTTTCATGATAGAGATAGTCTTTCTTTATTTGTTGCATATAGTAATTCCTTTAAGTGCATTCTGCAGAGATGGTTTAGTGACCAGGAGATCTGTTAATCCCTATTTTTCGTGAAATGTCCTTATTTCTCCACTAGTTTTAAAAGCTACTTTTGCTGGGTATAACAATGCTTGTTAGATGGTACTTTCATTAGAAATAAACTTATTTTGTTATATATTCCTCCTCCCCCATTTTTCTTTTTTCTCTTCCTGTGTCTTTTCAGTTTTCTTCCTTATTATCTTTTCTACTTTCAACAAGTATTTCTATTCAGGGTTTGAAATATAACATGCTGAGGTCCTTTCTGAGTAGTAGTTTTCAGTGGAAGAACTAGTGGCTCTCAGCTTATTGGAATATCTTTTCTTTCCAAAATATTCTGAAAGCTAGTGTTGCTTCAACCCACGTGTTATAATGTACTATTTTCTAAAAAGCAACTTCTGAAGTAGAGTTCATCTAATTTAATTTATACCCCTAGCATTTGTGTGTTTAAAAGTTAACTCAAAGACCTTCCCACAAATGATTAATAAGTTTGTAATGTTCTTTTAACAATCCAGGGCATTACCAAGGATGGATTTGGTAGGTTTTTTTTTCCTCCTACAGTTCTTGTTTTCTATTTATATTTTCTACGCCAATATGAAAGAATAGTATATTTAATAAATGAACATAAATGGTTTATCCTTAGCGGTGATATATCTAAATATTACTCTACCCACATACTGACTTTTCATAAGGTAGAAGGTCTTTTACTAGGGATTGACTCTAGAACATACCGGAGAGCTACGTTCATTTTTTCTTCAATTTTATGTGTCAAGGGCAAGTACTGATCTTTGTTTCTTAAGAAGGAAGCATCTCCTTCTTGATTAGCTTCTTTAGGTGTACAGATTGTAGTATGTTTATCCTATATTATATGTCTAATATCCACTTATGAGTGAGTATATACCCTGTGGGTCTTTCTGCTTCTGGGATATCTCACTCAGGATGATCTTTTCCAGTTCCCACTGTTTACCTGAAAATTTCA